AATATCTTTTTTTTTTTTTGGAGAGGTTTTTGCTATAGGACGCGTGTGCTCGCCAGACAGAGAAACAGAGAGACAGAAAGTGAGAAATCATCCCCCAGGGGGGATGGCCATGCCACAATCCCTTCTCCTCCATTCTCCTCTCGGGATCTTGGGCACGCACGCACACGCACCCGGTGTCAGTTTAAGGCACCGGTTCCGGGACTGAACCGCGGTTGACTACATGGGAGTCCAGCAACATAGCCATTACACTAATTGCTGGTCCCGATTACTTAACATCTTTGAATGCAAGGTGAAGAAGATGCTAAAGCTAGGGAATTTAAACAAGTCTGACAGAGACAGCATATAAAGAGTAAACCTCAACGGTTTAGAACAATTGTAGGTTGGTGTTCCCAGCACCACTGCAGGGTAGCCGTGGATCAGTGTAACAGCTCCATTCCATATTGTACTTAGAAAAGAGTGGTTGTAAAACCTGCTTAGGTCTCACAAGGTCTTTTTGAACTTCAGCCAATACATTTAGTCACTGTCAGAAACCACAAGCGTTAGCATCATATTTGGGCTTGCTAAGGCAGCCAGGTCTCTGGAGCGTGACGAGAAGCTCTTGTGTACAGCTTGAAAGCTGTTGCCGAGGCACGCTTCTCGGTATTCCTCTTAGGACTTTATTCTCTACAGCCTATTATAGCATGTCCCTACCTGTAGATGACACTGGATCGCTTAGATATCTTTAAAGCACACACAGCCATCTTAACAGGGAACAGTTTACCCCTCAGTTTATAGGTGAGACAGTGAAGGAAATCCTTTGGTGGTAGCCCTTTATTTGTGCTGCTGGTGCATTTGCTGACATAGCCCCTCACTCCCCACATGAATTAGTATTCCAGGCTTTTGGGGTGTTCAGTTTAGTAGGTAATGTTCGTATGTGAAAAATAAAAGATTGGCATTGAGGTCGCTGAATGGTCCCAAAGCTTTTCTACCTCTGTAAGCTTTTGCTGCCTAAAAGAGGTAGGAGTTTGAGTAGTTCAGAAGTAATTTTGTGGAGCCAGCAGGTGGCATAGTGGTTAAGGCATTGGATTCCCACATAGTTGACTGTGGTTCAAGTCCTGGACCCAGTGGCTTAAAACTTCACATCGGGTGTGTGTGCATGTGTACCTAAAGTCTCAAGAGGAGAATAGAGGAGAAGGGTTGCATTGTGGCCTTCCCCCTTGGGGGGTAATTTCTCGCTTTCTATCTCTTGTCTCTCTCTGTCTCCCTGGCGAGTGCATGCACCCTATAGCAAAAATCTCTTTAAAAATTTTTAACAAAAGAAGTAATTTTGAGTCCATGTTAAGAGATTTGTCTGCCTTTCTTTCTTTTCTTTCTTTTTCTTTCTTTTCTTTTTTTTTTTTTTTTTTGAGGGTTTTTCTTTTGGGCGTGTGG